ACTGGAGATCACATTTTCAGAGTGCAGGACACAACTAAGCAGAAGATGGGGAAAAGGTAAAACATAGTCCATGTTACCGTAGACTGAATCCTTAGCTTAGAGGATGTTCTCTGGCCTGTGTATGCAATAGGCCAGACTACATGATCATCGTAGTCCCTTCCAGCCTTCAGCTCTTTTAATCAAAACCCAATGCATAACCAAGCCAATTAGGAAGAAATCAAACCAATTTGGTTTGGCCCATCTGATGCAGAGACCTGGGGTCACACAGCTTCAGAGAGGAGCAGACCCTGTCTGAGTAACTCATATTACTCCCTGCAGCACTGTGGCTTTTGCCCTCATGTCTTTTACCTGAAATCTGCTTATTTTGTGAAGTGATGGGATCTCAACCACTTAAGGGTGACACAGTGGCAAACATTTACTCCAAGGGATGGTCAAGAGGTGTCCCAGTCAGATAAAGTATAGGGAGCAGAGGTGCCAATTCCCAGGAGTCCCATGAGTCATAGTAGTTCAAGCCCCCTTCCCCAAGCTTCATACCTGAGGCCTGGTCACAGTGTACACCCTCACCCCAGACAGAGCTTGAATGTGGAATGTGATCATTGCTGTGATGCTCCCAACTTCTGCTCTCGGAGCAGGGAGTTTGTTTATAACTCTAAGACCCTTCTGCCAGATAGGGCTGGCAGCAACCAGGGCCAATATCTAGGGGTCCATCTCACACAGAACCAGCTCGAGCCCCCTCTCAGTAGCCTGGGAAATTCACACACCCCTGGGCACCTCGGAGAGGCAATGCTTCCCCACTCGCAAGCACAGAGTCTGAGCGTAGAAAAGAAACTTTTAATGAAAGAGAGAAGTGACATGGCATTAACTTGGGAAAATACAATGAACAGAGATCATAACTCCCCACGAGTAACCGTCCCAGCTTAAATGGATTGAGCAATGTCTTTTGCCTCTCAGGCTCACCAGTCCAACAAGGTAAGGGTTCCATTCACTTACCCAAACTTTCCCCATACCCCATTTCAAACGCCCCACTTACAGCTCTGTCCATTCAGTGCAGACCCAGACACATCACCCGGATGCCTTCCTTCATAGAGCCTGATGTGATGCCACCTGTGTGCTGCCCTTGCTGCCCTCTGGTCATTCTTGCCAACTGCTCCACTGGCCACCTGCTGCCGCTCCTACTGCCCGCCCACCGGTCAATCCCACCAGCAGCTCTGCTGGCTGCAATGGGTCTGGCTCCAGGCCAAACCAGTAACTTCAGCTCTTAGCAATTTCAACTCTTTAGCCACCACCTAGGCTGGCAAAAGATTTCAGCTTCCACTGGACTAGCAAAAAAACTCCTCATGGAGTCTGCTTTAAGTCTGTCCTTAAAACAAGGGGGAAAGTGGCAGGTTGAGCCAGTCTTACAGCTCGTACCTGGCAGACATGAAGCAGGCTGACTCAAGCCCTTTAGCCCTTTCCTCCCAACTCCCTTCACTCAACTCTAGAAGGGGGGAGGCTTGTTCCTCTGAGACCTCTTACAATGATGGTGTCTCTCCTGCAAGCACTGGTGTCATATTTTACAGTGCCCACATTTAGGGGTGGCATGATTTGTGACCACAACAGCCCCAAATTAGTTACAATACGTCACATTCCAACACTGATCCTCCATCAGCCCTGGCTGAATTGGATTTATATAACCACACCTCGGATTCCTTCCCCCTCCTGGCATGAGCTGTATTTACATATCAACAGTTAACAGTTCATTATCTTGCAGAGCTAAACAATTGGAGTGAGCATACCCACCTCCAGAGCAGCTCTCTTCTTTTAGCTGACTGATAGCAAGCAGTAATTCAGCCCCTGTATATATAACCAAAGGCAGATTAAGATAACAAAAGGCATATCACTAAATTAAGGATTGTTAGATGATCCTGAAAGCATTGCTAGGCACTCCAGTCAAAAGATAGGTGCAAAGGGTAGGAGTAAATGGTGATTTAAGATAAAAAAGGCAAAAGCGTTCAGTAAATATTACTATTCTGCATTTGGGGAAAACAGATGATATAGTCTCCCTCACAAAGTGATACAACGTTCTTCCCAGTCCACTAGAATCTATAAAAGATATTAAACAGACATTACTAAAGTTACAGCTATTTTAAATCAGCAGGTCAAGAGCACTTATAACCAAGAGTTTTTAAAGAGTTCACTTAGGGGATTCCTGGATCATTCATGTTTATTCATAATCAATAAGTCTTGGAGCCCTGAGAAAGTTCCAGAGGATTGGAAAAAAATCTAATGGTGTGCCCCCTTTTTAAAAGGGTAAATGGTACAACCTGGTTGATTACAGGTCTGTCACAGGGGCGACATTTCAGTTTTTGGTAAGGGAACCAACCTGTGCATGCCGTGATTAGTGGAGAGAGTGAAATAATGGGGCATGGACTGAGGACAGAGGCTTCAGAAGTGTTACTGATCATGCACATTACAAGCTCCAAACCAAATCGCAACTCCATCTGCCTGTCACCACCATATACAACATCTCTATCCAGGGGCTACCAAGGTACTGGAAATCTCTACTTTTTTTGTCAGACAACTCAGCAATTAGCTGACATGAGCACTGTATCTAACTCTTATATAAAAGAACAAAAATTAAATAAATATTAGACCCATTCAGCGCTAACACTAACATATTCTGACAAGTCACTTAGGGGACACTGCTTAGCCTTAACATTTTAATGTCTATTCTTACTTTGTTGCTAACTCTGTTGGGAGAGACAGACCCTGTCAGGACTCTCTCTCAGCTCTGGAAGGGGAGTGTGATCTAGTGCAGTGTTTCTCAAATTGTGCTCCATGGAGCCCCAGGGCTTCGTGAAACATGGCCAGGGGCTCTGCGAGGTTGACAAACTGGATACATCAATAGGTACAACACATACAATCAGTGGACTGCTTGGTCTCCGCATAAATTTTTACGCATGTAAAGGGCTCCGGAGCCCAAAAAGTTTGAGAACTGCTGATTTAGTGCATTACAACAAGGGTGTTAGCGTAAGGGTTTTATATCTTTTTATATTTGTATTTTAGGTTTAATAATGTAGTAATGTAAGCTAACATATTTAATATTTTATTAATTAAGTCCTTTAGTTAAATATACATTTCTTTTAAAGTTTATAAGTAAAGAGACAGGATTTTGGTACTGTGTCTATGTTAATGAGATTAGAAATATTGAAGGCCCGGGTCTTCAATGTGAACTGTTTCAATTACAAAATTTAGTAAAGCAATTTACAAAGCTGTTTGCTTTTGTTCAGTATAAAACTCTGCTGTTTGTATCGCTGTGAAAGACTGTTTGTGTGAATGAGATAAGGTGTGAAGGTCATCGTTAGAGCCAGATGGTCAAGAGAGAAGGAGGAGAATGCGGGATGAAGACAGTCTGTGTAAGACAGATTGCAAAGAGACATATCGGCGTCAGAGGGACCATCAGTGCGTACCCATGGTCAAGGATTGGCAGAACTGACAACTCTAAAGGTGAAGGGGGGGGGGCAACCCTGAAAACAACTGATTAAATCCAGGACAGGATGAACTTTTCAGAGATGTTTGAAATGTCAGTATCAGAAGATAACAATAACTGGTCACAGACTGGCACAACAAAATCCATAGACTTCAACAGAGAAAAGGATTATAAAAGCAGGGTGCTTTGCTATAGAACTTTGGGTTCGTCTTGCCACCAACTCCAGGGGGGCATCAGATCATGACCAACAAAGCCTGGCTCCCCCTCTGTGATCGATCTGGCTGGCCACTAGATTGATCGAGACTCTGGACTGGTAACTATAACATCATCTGGCAGGACTCTCTCTCTCTCTCTCTCTCTCTCTCTCTCTCTCTCTGTGTGTGTGTGTGTGTGAGTGTGTGTGTGTGTGAGAGAGAGAGAGAGAGAGAGCAGATACATTTCAGCTCTATATAATAATATCAGAATGGCCATACTGGGTCAGACCAAAGGTCCTTCTAGGCCTGTATCATGTCTGCCAACAGGAGCCAGTGCCAGGTGCTTCAGAAGGAATAAACAGAAGAGGCAAGCATCATGATACATCCCCTGTCGCTCATACCCAGCTTCCTGCAAACAAAGGCTAGGGATAGCATCCCTACTTGTTCTGGCTAGTAGCCATTGATGGACCTACCCTCCTTGAATTTATTTTGTTCTTATTGGAACCCTGTTATAATTTGGGCTTTTCCACCATCTCCTGGCAAAGAGTTCCACATGTTTAATGTGAAACAATTTGTTTGAAATCTGCTGCCTATACATTTAATTGGGTGAGCTTCTTGTGTTATGTTACTGAAGGAATAAATAACATTTCCTTATTCTATTTTTCCACACCGTTCATGATTTTCTAGACCTCTAACATACCCTCCCACCCTGTAGTCATTTTTTTCCAAGATGAAAAGTTACAGTCTTGTTAATCTCTCCTTCTGTGGAAGTTGTTCCTTAACCCTAATAATTTCTGTTGCCCTTTCTGTATCTTTTCCAAATCCAATATATATTTTGTAGATGGATTGACCAGATATGCATACAGTATTCAAGAGGTTGGCATACCATGACTTTATATAGAGATAATATGGTATTTTGTCTTATCTGTTCTCTTCCTAACAATTCCCAATATTCTGTTAGTTTTTTAGGTTTTAGACTGACACTGCACATTGAACAGATGTTTTCAGGGAACTATCCACAATGATGCCAAGATCTGTTTCTTGAGTGGTAACAGCTATTTTGTGTCTATAGTCAGGATTATATTTTTCCATGTGCATTACATTGTGCTTATCAACACTGAATTCCATCTGCCTTTATGTTGCCGAATTACCCAGTTTTGTGAAATCCCTTTGTAATCCCTGCAGTCAGTTTTGGATTATCCCTGTTCACGTCTTTTTCAAGAACATTTATGAAAAGTTTAAAAGTAGTGGTCCAAATGCAGATCCCTG